CACAGAGTAACCACAGATTTGCTGTTTTTCACTTTTTACAAGTCAGAAGATTAACGTTGATATACTTTAAAAGTGCGATTAGGAAGATTTCAAATATAGCACGAGAAGGTACGCATCTAACCACATGGAGACATTGCCGCATTGTCATGTAGCCTAGCATGTATGAAAAAACATCTCGTCTTTTGTAAGTTTTTAATGTTGCTACGGTTTGAGGTTAAACGCTGTTCATGTTTATGACACAGTGATTTAAATCATGTGTGAATTCAGGCAGGGTCGGTATTTAGATCAACGCATCAGGAGGGAGGAGGTATGGAAAGAGGTTTGGCCATAAAAGTACTGCTGCCGTAAAATGTACACAACTGCTGCAGATCGCTGCAACCATAGCAGCAGCGATCTATGATGGTTTGACTCTGAGGAATATCTGACCAGAGTTTCTGAAAAGCCTTTAGGAGTGAATATTGACGAGATATTGATGATATCCGATGTGTTTGGTTGTCGCTAAAATTTTGCAGGTTTATCTAAATTATTTTAGTTAAAATCCAGTTTGAATTCATTAACAATAACTTTGAACACATTTACATTAGTAACTCAATAAACATGAGGTCTAACCTGCAAGCGTATGTACAAAAAGGAGGCTCAGACACGCCTCGAACACGCTCGGCTATCGTCATGGCAGAGTTCACCTTACGACATGCAATGTGTTCACGCGTTCATGGTGACCTCTCATTAGCAACAGGCAGGAAGCAGGACACCGTCAACAATCACTGTTGGCAGCAGGACAATGTTAACAATCCTCTTAAATTTACTCTGCATAAGAAAATATGTAAGCAACAAATATTTCAAACAACCAAACTAAGCTGTGGGAAAACCAACGACTTCTAGGAACAAAATTAGCAGCAAACCGAGACAGCTTATCGTCAACGAGATTTCAGAAATGACTGTTGCCGTTTCCAAACTACTAATCAACAACTAGTCAACACCGCTGCGTGCAAATACAAAGGCTGTTGCACAAACAGGCACAGGCGCACGGTCTAAAGAAACAACCTTCCAGCAACCCGGCTTATCTCAACACACCCAGGCTTTCTGTCTCTGTCTTTGGCATTCACTCGTTTTTTTCTCTCCCAAACATGCACACATACACAAACAATACGTTTCAGTCCCAAATTCAACAAGGCAGATCTCTCTTATCCTCCTCCAATCATTCTTCTTGTCCAACTCACATAGACATCGTTCCAGTTTCTGTGTCAGCACAGAAATCAGAGAACTGAAGTCACATCACTGTGGCTCCAGCATAATAAGGGTAAATGCTTTATAATGCAGCGTAAACTCAGTTTACCCCATAAATGCTTATAAATAGCTGAATTAAGTGGATTATTTTCCCATAATCTGACTTACATCATGTGATGGAAAGCTGCACTTATTCAAATAAAAACCTATATATGATATTATACTTCGAATTAAAAGAATTTGATGTTCAAAAATTAAGTTAATGACTAAATTTCCCGAGCAATTTTTAACCAAGACTGTTGACTCCTTCTTCTGTCTTTATGTTTTCCTCGTCATCATTACAATTACAATAATTCAGTTTAACAAAAGAAACAGAAGAAATACAGAATAAAAGGAAGTAAAACATCATGCTAAAAATAACCATGACAGTAGCTGGGTTTCCATTATAAATAATCACAAAGCTTTACTGATATTCGGCAAATGTTTAAAAGACACAATTTCATATTTCCATCAAATCAGAACGTAATTAAAATCACACATGAATAAGTTTGTTCAGAAGATAATTTATCGAAAAACATGCAGCAGCATCATCCTGTTACAACTTCCTGAACCACCTGCAATTACAACTTGTGAGAGAAATAAATATATGAAATGTGCAAATCAAAGATGATTATTGAATATGAAAATAGTTTTCAATATTTGATAAAAATTAAATTCGAGAATGTGGTTGCTCAGTAAAAGGAAAGATTTTTATTTTTTTTTAATATGGGTCTCATTAGGGGAATTTAAAGAAAAATAAGTATTAAAAACCAAGAGATGGCAGTAGTGAGACACTAACGGATGCAAGCTGCTGTTAAAATCTAAAGTTTCCAGAATTTTTGATTCAAATTTTTTGCCCTCATTCAAAATCAAATTTCTACAGAAAGAGCAAAACTATTCAGAAACCACCAAGAAACAAATCTGTAATCTAAAAAACAGCTGCTTTCTGCTTTAACTTGTTTAACCACTTATTTCCCTCCTTTTTAAAAAATATTATTTTCACAAACTGTCAAATTTCAAGGTCAGTTTCTTTATCTCGCTGTGTGAAAAAGGAAAAGTGTGATGGAGTTTCAATCATTAATAAAATAGGGTATTTACATCATGTAGTGTTTAATTTCTTTACAAACTAAACATTTCTTTGAGTTATTTATTATTTTGGCATTTGGATGAACATCCTGGCTGTATGGGGAGAAGTGTAAAAAAAAAAAAACATAAACTTGTTTTGGAAATTTCCTGTTGGTTTAATTTTTCTCTCACCATTCCTGGTGTGACTCCTCAGCAGGGTGGAGACAATCGCTCCAGGTGCTGCTAAAGGACATGTCAACGAGGAGGAGCAGCTACAGTAAGCTAAATTTGATTGGCCTTTGATTGCTGCAGTTGTGATGATTTGTATGTATATAAATATTTATTAGTAGAATTTATCCAGTTTGTGTATTCAGGTTTTTTTTCAATACCCCTTTTTTTTGGTATTGATGCTCCAACTATTTGTTGGTGAAATTGCAACCAGCAATATTTCAATAAATCCAACAGAATTGCATTTTGTTGTCATTTGAGCCTCTGCTGCTCAAATGACTAAAAGATATTTGTGAACGATGCAAGTTTTTACGTTAGTCATGCATAAAAATCAAGTTTTTTCTTTATTTTTCCCATCTAAACATTTGAGCCACATTTAGTTGTGTTTACTATCTTTTCCTCTTTAAGTCAAATAAATGTATCCAGTTTTAGATTTTGAACCTAAATGTGAGTTTGTGAAAGATAAACTTACAGCAGTAAGTTGTGTTCACTTTTATTAATTCAGTCAAACCTCCAAGAGTTGAATAAACTGGAGTTTTGAGGTTAGCACTTAAAAAACTGAAAGAGGAAAAAGACAGGAGTGGGAACTATTTCCCAGAATGCTTAGCGGCATGTTTTTGTCTCCTGAGATGGAAGTGCGTCACATTGATCTGACTCTTGTGTTTTATTAAGGCAAATGTTCATTTTAATGCAATTCTCAGCAAATTTGAGGATAACTTGATATTGTGAGTAAATTAACAGAGAAATGTGGCTCTTTAACTCGGCGAGAGCTGTTTTTTTTTCTTGCATATTGTGAAATAATTATTTGGTTTAAATTGCAGCATTAAATTAAAACTCACAATTCAAGATTAATTAAGTTAAAACCAATATCTAGACAACTTGTCTCTTGTTGTTAAATCAACTTCATGAACTTTAATTTCTGATTTAAAACCAAAACACTTTTCTTGTTGACTTAAATTACATTTTCCATTCAGCAGGTGGAGTTTCATTTTCAACTTAAATCACCTTCAAATGTTTTACAGTGTAATGTGAAACTAAATATTTGTACTGTTACAAACAAATTCAAAATGTTAGACTGTGCTGACCTTTAGTGGTCAAATAAGGTACTGCGTGTGCATTTTTGAACAATCTAAACCACAAAAGAATTAACGGAGGTTGGTTTGTAATTTTTAAAAATGGTTTATCTTGTAGAAAAATACAAAATTTGAACATTTTATCAAAATGGGAGTTGGGGGAAATTATTAAAATGTCAGTAGGTCTTACCATTAAATTGCTGGGCACTGTCTCTTTAAATCTTTTTAACAGGGAGTTTCCTATTTATAACTTAACATCAAGGAGTTTTGTTTTATCAAAACCATTTGCCATAGAAACCGCGCTGATCAGCTTCAGTTGATGTCATCAGTTTCAAGGCCGATTCATCTTTGTTGCTCTGGTATCCAAACGTTTTAAAATAGGTCAAACATGCAGGGCAAATCACCAGCTGTCCAGGTTTATCTCAAATGAAATAACACATTGAGCAATTATGGAACGTCATTTCAGACTGCAGACACACCGGGCGTGTTTTTATTTGAGACATTTACGGTGAAAGTGTTTCTCACCAGAACTGTATGAAAAACTAAAAAACAGCATTTTCAGTTGAAATGATGAAATATCCTCTCTTGGACTGGTGGAGGGGTTTGAGGGCCCCAATGATCCCAGGTGCTCTGCTGTCCCTGGTCGGGTCAGCATTCAGACACATCCAAGGTGAGGAACCAGACTAAGCCTGAAGACCCCTATGATGAGTCCGGGTGTTGAGAGGATCCGTTTTGGTGGCCTTAGGATTGCAGGACCACGTCATTTGCGGATGATGTTCTTCAGCTCTTGCTGCAGCGATGAGCAACCGAGTGTGAAGCGGCCGGGATGAGGATCAGTGCCTCCAAGTCCGAGGTCTAGAGCCGGAAAAGGTCAGAGTGCCTTCTGCAGGTCGAGGGGTGTGTTTTCAAATTTTTTGAAAATTAGTGAAAATAAAAATCCTGCACCCATTTCTTTTTGAATTAATGTTCTTCTGGTCAGCTGCTTCTTCTGTTCCCATTTTTACAGTTTTCTGATCTTCCACTGTTCCTAATAAAAAAATGTTTTTTTTTTTACTTTCACACAGAACCGGGTTTCATAAATCTAAAACAGTTTGACATTTTGTCTTGGCAAAGCATGAGGCTTCTTGGTATTCAGAAACTTGCTTCAATGTGTGACTGTAAGAAAAAGATTCTGCATCTGACAAAAACGAGTTTAATGCCTTTATTTTACATAATGTAAAAAAAATAAATACATCTGATTTATATGACAGAGTATTAGGGCCATACTAAGAAAAAAAATTATGAGAATAAAGTAATGAAGTTACAAGAATAAGCATAAAATTTTGAGAATAAAATCAAAATATTGCAATAATAATGATAAAATATAAAAATAAAGTCATAATAATATAAAAACAAAGTTGTAATATTGTGATACAATCATATGAGAAAATGAGAAAAACATTCAGAGTATGAGCAGTTATTATTTATTTATTTATATATTCCTCTGGCATTTAGTAGGGAAGGAAAACCAAATCTGAGGATTTAATCTTTGCATTTTTTCCGCAAGGAATTGTGCGCATGAGTCTCATGAATTGTTGCATAACCTCGTGCATGAAAGGAGATTGTCATCCAGCTGAGACGGACGCAGACGCGCATGTGCTGATGCGTTTGGCACCGATGTGTCGTCAGTTCGTTGGATGTTGACGCAGCGTTCTCCAGAAGGTGTGTGTCACCGCACGCGCGCTCGTCCACCATCTGTGCGCGCGCCCCTCCCTCTGTGACTCGCAGCATCACCGGGAGCCCAGCGGATGCTGCTGTGAAGAATATATTTACGCTTCACGACCGGAGAGAGAGAGAGAGAAAGAGAAGCGTGATATCTGAATGCGTAATTCGCGGGGGGGTGATTTGATGCGTGATCTTAGCGAACGGGTCCCGTTTGGAGACATTTCCTCCCAGCAAGCTGTTGATTTTTTAGGTGTTGCCTGCAGCTGAGGTCGTTGTGAAAACGCGTCTTTCTCCGCTGGATTTTTCCAAGGGCACCGAAATGCGGCGGCGATGAGCTGCGAGCGAGTCGGGTCACATCCAGGGTTCGAGCTCTCCTCACTTTGGTCCACTGCCTGAATTTTTCTTTTTGGAGTGGGGTGGAGGGGGATGCGACGTCATGAGCCTGAACCCGTCTGACAGATGTGTTGCAGCTGCACAGACACAGCTCGTCCGATCCGGCGCGTTGTTTTAACTATGATTGTGTAAGAGGAGGAACCGGGAGAAAAGCGTCTTTCAACATCCATGTTCGATCCCCTCCTCGGTGCACGGACGGACCGCAGCCTTCATTTCATTTTCGGCTCTGCATAAGATGATACCTGGATCTGCCGCATCAATGCTACCGTCTGCAGAAGCCGCGAAACTCTACCAGACCAATTACGTCCGCAACTCGCGTGTCATCGGACTCCTGTGGGCCATTTTCACGATCCTGTTCGGCATCGTTAACGTGACCATCTTCTCGCAGCCCTATTGGATCGGGGATGGCGTGGACACCCCGCAGGCTGGCTACTTCGGCCTGTTCCACTACTGCGTCGGGGACGGACTCTCCAAGGACCTGGACTGCCAGGGCAGCTTCACCGAGTTCGCCGCCATCCCCTCCAGTGCGTTCAAGGCCGCCTCCTTCTTCATTGGAATGTCAATGATGCTGGTGGTCACCTGCATCGGCTGCTTCAGCCTCTTCTTCCTCCTCAGCACCTCCACCGTGTACAAGATCTGCGGCTGGATGCAGGCAGCATCAGGTAGGTCTGGAAACCTCATCTTTAAACTACGGCTGCACCGATTGGACTTTTCTGACCCATCTTTAAAAAGCCGGTTCCGATTTTAGCCGATTACCAATTTTTGTTTTTATTTGTCTGACATGCGGCTAAAAATAGCAACAACAACAACAACAAAAAACTTGCTGAGTTGGCAACAATTAACTGCAAACATGGTGGACTGCTTTTTGAGTCTCTCACAGTGGAGCAGAAAAGGATTTTTGATAATCAGATAATCAGAATATAACTGAGTTTTAAACCTTTACTGAGGTAGGAAATACTATTGGACACAACTGACTTCACATTTAATTTCCCCAAAATTAAGTAAATTTGCGCCGATAAATAATCAGTTCACTCCTACTTTATACGGTTATAAAATATGCATTGGTTTGACATTTATCTATAAACTGATTAGATTAACTTGTCAATATCAATCAAATACAACAACTGTAGTAATAAAATGTAGTTGGATCAATCCATCAGCTGCAGAACGGAATTGGCCGATTTTCCCTTAATCGGTTCTGATCAGTCTAATTATGAATTTATTAGATTTTTTTTCACCTCCTGTTCATTAAATTAATCAAAACTAAGAAATCCAACCATTTTCGATCTCAAAGAACTTGTTGCATATTATTTATCTTTTCTTTATTTTGGTTCATTATGTTTTTATCTGAAGAGTGTGTCTCTCTTATTAAGCAATCAGGTATAGAAAATGACTTTGGATAAATGATTTTCATAAAAATTTGATCTATCAAATCTTTAAAATTCATCTTATAAATCTTCATATTGCAGTATATTCTTAACATAACTGATCAATGCTTACACTAAGATTTATAATTGTCTAAACTAAGAATGTATGACAAATAAAATACACTGATTTATATCAAAAGTAATTGAAAAGTGAATGGATAATTAATTCCAGGTACTCACAGTTCTGTCTGAGGTGCTGAAATGTTTTAGACATCTTGCTCTGCATTTGAGTTTCTTTCTGACTCCTCCATCGTTTTTTAGACACCAATTTTCAATAATAGATCATTAATTGTGTCCAAAGAATTCTAATTTTTGAAACGAAAAAAAAAAAAAAAAAAAAAAACAACTTTATTCTGATACTCCTAAATAAAAGCAGGTGGTCACCACTTGATTAGTGTGCAATTCAGTGTACTTTACACTCTATACTTACAGTAACTATACTCTGCATAGTTTGAGTATATTATACTCAGCATAAATACTAAATATTGTTTGGACCTCAGAGTTTTGCTACAGGACTTTGTGATAGAATAACCTTCTGCTTATGCTGCAAACTTTCTACTAAATACCCATTTAGCTCTATGAAGAAAACTTCATCATTGCCCCATTTTAAGTTGTTTACATAACACACAGCAGGCATTCAACCCAATCTGAGCCGTTACAATCACCAGATTTTCTTCTAATCTCCTTCAATCAAATGTGTACAGTACAGCTGTTCTTTTTGTGGTTTTAAATTTGAGTAAAGGTCGACGATTGAGCTGCAGCATTTTGTCATTAGTTGTGACTGTGGGTGGACGACATAAGCCATCATTTCATCTGAAGAGTCCAGCCATAAGTAGCAGCAGCAAATCTTTGAGTTTCCAGGTTAGCACTTAAAAAAACTGACAGAAGAGAAAGACAGGAGTGGGAACTATTTCCCAGAATGCTTAGCGGCATGTTTTTGTCTCCTGAGATAGAAGTGCGTTACATTGTTCTGACTGGTGTTTTATTAAGGAAAATGTTCATTTTAATGCAATTCTCAGTTAGCAAAGCTTGAGGATAATGTCCTGTTCACACTAAATGTTTCTGAGCTGAATTCATTGTTTAATAAAATTCATTATCAGATCAGAAACTTTGTTCCTGAAGTTTGAAACAAGAGTTTAAATTATTATAAAGTAAAATAAGTATTTATTTTAACTTGATATTGTGAGTAAAATAATAGAGAAATGTGGCTCTTTATTTTTGTTCTTGCATCTTGTGAAATAATTATGCGGTTTAAATTGCAGCATTAAGTTAAAACTCATAATTCAAGATTGATAAAGTTAAAAAAAATGTTTAAACAACTTGTCTCTTGTTGTTAAATCGACTTCATGAATTTCTGAGTTAAACCAAAACAATTTTCTTGTTGATTTAAATTAGATTTATATCATGGAGTTTCATTTTCAGGTCAAACCACCGGTAAATGTTTTACAGTGCAGTTATTTTGGAACAGCTCCATCTTGAGTTGTCATGTTGGGCTGAATTAAGACAATAAGCTTCTCTAATGAGGCCGCTGCTGGTTTCACTGCAAGGAGATGAAAGAGAAAGCTAAGAGAAGAGGCGCCGGTCATGGCAGTCTGACACAGGGAGGCCTGGCTTATTACTGCTGTCAAACATTATTACTTAGCTGATGTTTAAACTCACACCTTAGCTGAGTGGCCCGTAGGGAGGACAGGTGGCCCATCAACATCCACACACCATCAGCGTGATGGTGATAAACGGCACGTCAGCCTGCCAAGAAGAGCGCAAAGGAAAGACAAATTTGTTTTTGTTTCCTTTCACAGTTTGTCACCTCGAAGGATTTTTACTGCGCAGTGTATGTCAAACCTGGTGGATTTGAGAGGATCTGAAATAAAAAGCGATGGAGGGTCAGCCTCCGCTTGCTTTCTGCCGTGCTGCTGCTGCTGGAAGGCTTGGAGGACATTAATGACACAGTCAGTATTCAGGGCACTGCTCTCTGCTACATGGCATCAATCTTTCCTTCTGCTCCTGCGAGCATCATCGCGGGTCATTCCACAGACTCGCATGCATGTCTTTAGAGATTGATGCTGCAGCTTTCAGCTAGCATGCTACCAGGTTATTTAAGACCAAATGATTTTGAAAAGGGTTGCCAATTTGTCATTTTATATTGTTTACCATTAGATGTGAGGGAAGACGATGCATCGTTTCTATATTCTGGCAAATGTTGAGAGGTTTTAACCAGGCATTTGTTATTTAAATGCATCCATATTTTAACTACAAACTGCATTTTGTTGTGATTTTGTCACATAGAACCAGAATATAAGGTTCTATGCATTTTATTTGTTTTTATTTTCTTAAATAAAAATCTGAAAAGTGGGATTACCACTTTTATTTACTCCAACAGGTCTAAATAAAATTCAGGACAAAGCTAAAAGCTAAAGCTAGTTTTAAAGCTAACACCTTAAAGCTATTTTTAACTTTAACGTGTAATGTAAAATGTCACTAATGTATCATTTTACATTTATTTTAACTTGTACATTTATTTTAACATGTAAAATGTCACTAATGTATCATTTTACATTTGTGTTAAGCTTTAAATTAGCTTTAAAGCCACTGTTAGCTTTAGAGCTAACAGTGTTTACTGTGAGTACGATGTGTTTAAAGATATGTGAGATGTTAGCTTGAAAGCTAACATCTCACCGCATATCCTTAAACACGTCGTGCTCATAGTAAATCATAGTAGTGGCAGTATCATTCTGTGGTGGTTAGTTATTTTGCCAAGAAGAAAAAAAAGAGTCAATATTGAGATGTGACTAGATGAAGACTAGCAGCGCTAACTGCTCACTTAAAATACACTAAAGCTTGTGGTTGTAATGTGACAAAATTAAAAAGAATAAAAAGTGTTTGAATAGTTATCAAGTTATTGTTGATGCAGTGGTTTTTTTACCTGATGTCAAACATGCTAAGATTTGCACTCAGCTGCCTTTCGGTGAACAAGTTATGGAGAACTGGCACATAGTTCCATCCTTTTCCTTGGAAGAGTTTTTTGCTGAATATTTAATAAAGTAGCCAGCGTCCAGGACTTGTCAGAAGTCTCACATCGTCTACATGACAGTTGAAGCTGAGTGCACAGATCTATGATGCATCCATAATGCCCTGGATGGAGCCACATTCGTCTTTTAGAGCTAAGTTTGGACGTCTGCAGATTCAGGGCATGTAGATGTCAGAGAATGCTTTTTCTGCTGAGCAAACTAAGACTTTTCTCTCAGACCTTCCATCTTTGCACCTCATCTCATTTCATATTTTCTATTCTTAAATCTGTGCAGTGTGTTTTCACCTTTTCTCCAATCTTTGAACCGGAGTTATTCTGAAATCTGCAGACCGGTTAAGGTGGCCGCTACGGGCTTTTAAAGTCTTACTCCAGTATAAATAAAGTATGAGGTTTTCCTTTATAGCAAGATTTTGCATGGGAAGCACTTTCTGCAGCATTTGCCTGATTGCTTTGATTGCAACCTGATCTGGATGAAACAAATTTCTTGTGAGATGTTTTATTTTTTCTGTAACAATTAAAGCTCCATTTCTGTTCCATTACCTACATCATTTCTTAATTTACTAATTAAAACTAATTCCTCATCCATGCATAATTTTTCCATCATTACAGTGAAAAACGAGAAAGCAGCTCCAAATAAAAAAAACGTTAAATTGGTCACAAGTAATTGAATTAAGTTAATCACTTTGTACACATTTGTTTATCTTGAAAATTTAAAAAACTGAAAATATTGAATTGGATAAACTTAATACATTTTTATGAATTCTGTATTTTTCAGTGTAGCTACCATTTTTGCAACCAACTACAGTGCAAAAGTAACATTTGACCTTTTTCCCATTTTGTCAAGTTACATCCACAAACTTCAGTGCATTTTGGGGATATTTTTTGATACGACACTAGCACATAACTGCGAATTGGTCAGACAAGTAAACCGTTTTTACACATTTTCAAAAGTAAAAATTCAGAAACTATGGCAGGTATTTACGTCAAATTTTTCCTATGTGAAATTTATTATTTATAGTAAGATGTCCCATGCAAAATCTTACTATAAAGGAAGACCTCATACGGCATATTTGAGCATAAAAGAAAAAAAAGGAGTAAAGCTAAAAATGTTGGACTTTTGGAAAGAAGAACTTTTTGAGTTTTTTCCAGAAAATTTCAGAAATTGATCTCAAAATTTCAGAATATATATTTTTAGAAGTTTTCTGAC